ACATGCCCTCGATTATTAGGATCGTCCCCGATCCCTTTATTTTGCTCCCGATCCGAATTCGATCATTTGATTTTGACATTTGCCGATACCCGACTTTTTCCACGATCCGATCTTTATGCAATGTATAAGAGAAAAACAAAGAAAAGCCTTTCAAGTCTGTCCTTAACGGTTATTTGTTTATTATTAAATGGATACTTCTATCAACTTGGATATAGCTTCTTTTTTCCCACAGCAGCATTGGATCAGTTCAGTTGTGCAGCATTGGATCAAAACAAAATAAAGCTTATCAGTACTCGTTAGCTTACTGCTACAATTAGACACTGCGCCCTGCCCACTCTGTTGCCAGATTTGAGAGAAATAAGCAACCAGGTCTATGAAAACAAGCCCCAAAGAAGCAACACATACATGATGTTGTGTAATTTGAAACCAAAACTAAGGCCTCAGGCCTCATGACTTTAAGACTTGAACATGGTCATTTTTGTTTTGTAACATTGAATACAACATTTAAAAAAAGTATTTATAAAAAAAAAAATAAATCCTGATCCCCGATTTTTTTCCTCCCGATTCCGATCTTTTGAAAATCACGTGATCGGCTCCGATCCCCGATCACGTGATCGGATCGGGACATCTCTATCGATTATGTAATTATTTATATAGCCTTTCTATCAAGCTCAATACCTATAATATTTGACCTGAATGTCTTCCATTAGTCCGGGACAAATCTTATTGTACATGTTGATTGACTCCAACTTTTTATAGAAAAGGAAACGCTGTGTTTGCGTAGATGCTTATCGAGCAAAAAGTCCGAATTGGGGTAAAAGTTGCAGCGGTGTTGCAGATGCGTTTTCATTTTTTAGCATTGATTGTTTGAACCCCCCATGACTCCACACAGCTGTGAGAATCAATGGTTAATGTTACATAACACTGGAGAGAGAGATGACCCGGAGGAAGCCCTCGGTGTTCCTACTGTATCAGTGGCTTACACTCCTGAGTTGGCTGATGAGGCATTGAGTGACAACCGATCCTCATTATCTCGGCTATATTTGTACTTCTTCACCATCACCCAGGGGGGGGGAAAGAGCACTGTAACCCATTATACTGGGTTGTTTACAAGAGTGTATGGCAGGATGGGTGTTCAGTTTTTTACAAATTGACTTTGATCCAGAAATATAAACAAACTGCCTGCTTTTCACTTTCTTCAAAAGTCAGTAGAGAGTTGCAGCAAATTAAAAGCTCCAATACTGCAACTTTATGCCCCCAGGCAGCGAGTGTATTGTTAGTCTTGGCGCTCGATTCAGTTAGTTTAAAACACTCGTTTCTCTTCGTGATGGGCTGTCTACCTTTGGAGAAACATGTAGCCTCAGGTAATCTAGAGAAGCTGTGGGTGAATTTAAATAAATAGCAATTACAATGTAAGCAGATGGCTGGTGTGCTACAATTCAACTTCAAGGTGTTTTGACTTTTTCATTACATTTACATTCAGTAAATAACAAAACTAATAGACAAAAATCATAAATTGAATGGGCTGCCCTATTGACAGACGCCATATGGTATGAATGATTTAATATTGTATCTTTTTCATTTAGATTACATAAATAATACAAATAAAAGTGGGCTCCATGGTCTGTCTCCCCATGGTGTTATGGAAATAATATAATATCATATATCTTTTCATTAAATGTACATAAATAACACAAATAAAAGACAAGAAAGAGATCAATAATATAAAATAAATGCGCCGCCCATGGTATAACATGAACATATGGTCAAAATGGTCAAACTCGCATGGCATGATATCAATTATATAACATTGTTTTTTGTATAATTTAATTAACTTAAGCATTTAAGAATTACATGAATAAAAAACAAGAAAAAGTGAATTCAAATAAAACCCCCCATTTCTGAGGCTCCATGCAAAAAAATGAGTGAATTATATAATATTTTGTCAACATACATAAAGGCAGTTTAAAGACCTACTGTATGACAATATGGTCCTCATTGTTTTATCTCAGAGATCCTCATCCTCTTGCCTTCACATATTCCAATGGTTTCCATGGTGATGACTGTACCGTTACTTGAGGGCCACCAATCACGAGTCGGCACGAAGGGCAGAGGGTTCAGGGCGTCTTCAGGTTGAGTCAGGGAGAGCAGAAGCAAACAGAACATGACGACACACTCAAGTGCCTGAACTCACCGTGGACGAAGCTCCTGCCATGTGGGGCTAAAGAGAATATTCATCAAGATTAAATACAAATCCTAGCATGGCAGCAAATAAAGCTATAGGCAAAATGAGAAAGGGTAATGGACTGTACATTAAGTTGACCTCGAAATGACCTTCAGTTGCTGGAATGTAAACACTGCTACATATTACTACACTGCTGCTATAAACAAACGTTGGAGGCGGATTTATGTCCTGTGAGTGTTGTGACAAAACAGAGTCATCATACTATTATCATAATTGCCTTGGAGAGCAAATCAATAGTGCACGGAGCATTGTGTCGGCATGAGGTGAACCTGCAATTTTCTATATGTTTCTGAGCATCTTGCATCCACTTTCTTTCAGCAGTACTTTCTGACTGCCGGCAGAAAATCGATCTCCAGACGGAGAGAATGAAAAAGGGTATTTCTGCTCTGCAAACACACACATCAATATATCAGAGTTCCATCTTCACCAGATAGATTCATACATGAGCTAAATTTGACCTTTTTCGAGATAAGAACATGTCTTTTGTTTATTCAAGGACCAAACTTAAATTTGCTTTTAAAACAATTTCAGCTCGACGACAATTAGCTGTGATCTCACAATATCCCAAACATAAAGTCACAATGAAGATCTTTTCACTTGTGTTTAGCTTTTCTCACAAGAGAGCCGCATGAGAGTCTCTGCTCTCTAGCAGGGACGGAAAAGGGGGTAAAAAGGTTCTCATGAACTCATTTTAGTTCCGGTTCTTTTTGGTGTGAACGCGACATTTCAGAACTATATCGGAACTAAAGTGGGCAAACTACTCCGGTGTGAANACAATGCTTCCAATTTGAGGCCTTTTATATAGGCTAATTGCATCTGAATTACTGTTACAATGAAGGCTCCATAATCAGCTCACGGCTATATAGGCAGGGGTAAAGTGCTATTGGGGGGCAGACCTCACCTCCTCTAGGGGGGTCCTCACCTCCTCTAGGGGGGTCCGGGGGGATGCTCCCCCGGGAAGATTTATTTTTTAAATATTGAAGTTGAAAGCATCAATCTGGTGCACTTTGAGAGCAACATGAAGAGATCTATGGATACCTCTCTCAGCACCCATATGAAACAGAACTGTAAACAGATTTTCTTTTTCTTTATGGATATTTTACAAATCACATTAAACTGTATTCTTGTTTTACTGCCATATAGTAGGCTATTTCATACCTGTTTTTCCTTTATTCTCTTATTGTTTGTATAACTATAATGATCATATGAAGGTGTGCCGCGGAAATAATCTTTTGAATAATTTGTGACAAAACTGTTCTAAACAATCAAGAGTCCTTTAGCTCACCTGAGCCCCTCAGTCTGACAGGAGAGGACTCTCCTCCAGCTTGTTGTGGAAACAGCTCCTTATGTCCGTTAGTGCAGCTAGCTAACCAGATGCTAACATCACGGTCCCCGCTAGCACCGGTCCCCCTCTCTCCCTCACTCCCTCTCTATCACACTAAATGCGCTATCGCCACACACACACAGAGCCGAGCTTGAATGACACAAGCACACGTGTATTTCCATGCAACTCTCTGATTGGTCTGGTGTGTTGCCTCGGTTGCGTTCACTGAACACGGGAAATTACAGTCCTGCCGTCGTCTCTTGTGTCATGATGAGGTTCACGTAAAGCACGGTTAATGTATTATATTATTGAGGTGTCTCAATCAAGTGGCACCTGCTAATGGGGTGGTGGATGATAGGTTTACATCTAAAAACGTATTTTTCAAACATTATTATTTTAATTGTATTTTTCTTTCTTTTGTTACTTTTTTTTTTACGGTCCCCGATCTACCCGCACCACACTCGCGATCGACCGGTTGATCGCGATCGACTGGTTGCCGACCACTGCTTTAGTGTGTTATAGGTGTTTGTGCATGTGAATGGCCTGCCTGAAACATTGGATTCCTTTGTTTACTTCTTTGATATAGTGACATCCCAATGTAACACTGGCGCTTCTATTGGCTAGTGTTCCAACATCTAAAAAGCGGTTGACCAATTATAACAGCTAGCTAAACAATCTTTCAGACATAGGGTGAGAAGAGATGCTGCAGCACAGGCAGCATAAGATAAATAAAATACAATAAGGAACCTGAAAATGAGCATAATATGTCCTTTTTAAATCTTGGGATCATCAGCCATTGTTCAGTCAAGGAAAATGAAAAGCATTTAGCTCTTTTTACAGCAATGCCCTGATTTCCCATTGAGTCAAGCTAAGTTAGATTAGAACTATGAAATAGCAAACACCTTTTCCATGATAACTGAAGGATATACAGCCACAAAGATAAAAAACAATGATGAAACGTCAAATAAAAACAATCAATAAGAACCCTATCTGCGAAATAACCAAAGCAGGACCCCTGCCGGTCTTGTAGATCAATTTATTGCTGTCTTTCCTGGACTCTACATTATTTACCATGTAGCCTGAAGCCTGCATATGTGTGCTTTGGAGCCTGCTTCTATAATATCTCTCCTCTCTGTCTCTTTGTGTTTTGCAGATGTACCACTCTGACCAAGGCGTTGACTTCCTGGACCTCTCCTTCCGTATCCTTGGCAGCCCTGCAGAACTGGGACCAGCATACAGAAATTGAACACAAACCTCCACAAAACCACATATATACCATCCACTTCAGCGTGCTCTGCTCCTGTCTCACGCTCCTTCCTCCTGGACCATGGACAGCCCCCCTAAGCTGTCAGACGAGACCCTGATCGTGCGCCACATGCCCCTGGTTCACTGCCAGGTTTCAGGTGTGCGGAAGGTTGGCTGCGGGGGCTCACTGAAAAGGAGCAACCCGTTGATCCCACCGGAGAACCTGGGCTTGAGTCGCACCACTTCCCTTCCAGAGAGAGACATCCTTCAGAGAGAGGCACTCCTCTTCAGCAGCCTGATCCAGACCTCCAGCGGCTCCTGGGCGTCTCACAACAGGGGGAGAGATAGGAAAGTCGGAGGGAGAGGAAGCAGCACAGCAAGTGATGATTCATCGTTTACCTCGAGTAATTCTGACGACCAGCTGATTACAGCTCACACATTACCGCGAGTCAAACCGAGGAACAGGAATCCATTGCGTCACAATCCCTTCCTCCTGAATACCGAAGATGAGGATGAAGAAGAGGAGGAGGATGGTGACAACCTCAGTGGTTATCTCGAAGACTCCTCTTTTCACCTTCACAGTGACATAAACTCTGCCCACGATGACCAGATGGCTTCTTTCCATTTACACAACTTTGCTTCTGAGCCCTTCCTCTTGCACAGGTCAGTTGGTGGAAGCAGTGGGGAGTCCCTCAGGGCAGAAGCCTCGGACCTCTCCACCCAACTGGAGGACATGGACATTCTAGGACTGGACAGCCAGCTGCGCCTTGGCAGCAGCGGTTCCAACATGTCCATGGATTGTGGAGAGCAAGACTGGGGCGATGACGATGGAGAGGATGAAGATCATCCTATGAGGTGTGGTCGGAGCTCCTCCAGCTCCTCCGTGCGACAGTGCTCCTGCTGTGCTCTCAGCCAGAACTACCCCCAGCACTTCCCTGAATCCTTCTCAGAGCCTTTCTCGGAGTGCCAGCAAGGCTACGGCAGCGACTCCTCTTGCAACAGCTCGGATGGCGTGCTCGTGAACTTCAGTGCCATTTACAACAAGATGAACAACAGCATTCCCGAGAAGCCACCGGTCTCTGGGCACACCAACCTCAACAGCTCCACAGACCACTCCCGCACCTCGTCTGTGTCTGATCCTCCTGGAAACAAGAGAGACTCGGAGACCGGAGGGGCCTTCTATCTAGACCTTCACACCTCGCCAACGGAGCCTCCCTTGTCACAGCAACAACCCTTCCCTCTGGTCCATGATCCGCACTTGTCCACCTCCTCCACCTGCTCCTGTGCTGTAGAGCACCAAGGGGTTCTTGATCTTGACGCAAACTGCAACTCTTACCAGCCTCCACATTCTGGGTCGTCTGGAGACTTCGTGTCCTGTCTCCAGAGTCAGGCAAGCCTAGTTGTCGCCACACAAAATTACTACAAGCTGGTCACCTGTGACCTTTCGTCCCAGTCGTCCCCGAGCCCTGCAGGCTCCTCGGTCAACAGCTGCTCCGATGAGCACAGCAAAGGCAGCCCCACCCCGACCCAACCCAATGAGTACTTCCTATTCAGGCAAAGAGCTGATGAAGAGGGTGTGGAAGAAGAAGATGAAGATGTGGACTCTTCTAGGGTGAGTAGAGAATCCTACTTCACTGCTTTTATTAGGTACATTAACTTATATTTTCAGTGATTGGCACATATAATAAGATGTGTGCAATGCCTATCAACCCCAAAACCGTGAAATAAGACAACCTAGTCAGTTCTTTTATAAGCTGCCTCTCTCAGAAAACACATCCGAATATATAGACCACCATTGAATAAATGTTTCTTGCAAGCCAATCAGAGCATACTGATTGCTGGCCCATATTCCCTCAAGGGCCACTAAAAGAGGCAGGCGACAAAACTGAGTGTCCTGGATCCATGTCCTGGATGTAAGATCGGCCTGAACCATTCACAGCACAATGGACAAGTAGCATGAACACTGCGAAAACTAAAGGCCCTGTGCAGGGGCGGACTGGGACTAAAGTTCAGTCCGGCCACATGAAATGTCAAATGTTAGAAATCCGCTGTTTATTATTTAAAGTTTTACGTCCGATTCGCTCCTTTTTTCCTCTCTGTACACAGCTCCAGTTTGGGCATTGGCCTGTCATCAGATTTAATTTTTAGTTGCTGCTGTTGCAGAAGTTTAGTACAATTATTTTTGATGAAATACTCCAAATCTCCACCCCCCATAATTGTACCTACTTCAGTTGCTTGCTACTTTTTAAGGGAGGTGATGACAGTTACAGTACGAACTGAAGTTGATGCGATTTGATTGGATTGTGAGGCATGACGTGAGCCTCATCTGATTGGTCAATCCCTCGATTTTTTTCACCAAGGGAAGCCAATTTCGGCTAGTCTCCTTTCGCAACAGAGAGTGCCATCTACTGTTTCATCATAACATCTAGAGGGGCGCTGTTTCACTCTTTGTAAAATACTCAATGAGAATGGGGGAGAGATGGGCCGGCAGAATAATTACCGAAACTAACGAAGTGTTTTATTTATTTATTAAAATTATAACTACAATCCAAAAAAACAGGGGAAGCC